TTGAAAATTCAATATTTGATTAACCAGTTCTGTTCGAGGGGACAGAGCTCCGGTCCCTGGACAGATATGTGTAAATGGTGGCACCTAGACCGCAGAATACACACAGAAAGTCACAAACACCGACACTGGCAAAGCACCGAATTTCCGTTTGGAAATTTATGGCATTTCCTATTTTGATTTCCGCACTCAAAATGGGCAGACAGGCTGCCTGAATGGCTGGCTGGCTGGATGGATGGATGGTTGGTTGGTTGGTTGGCTGTAAGGCAGATCGGCTCTTTGGCTCGTCGACTGGTTGACTGGTTGACTGGTTGCCTGGCTGGGACGGGCCGTTGTCAGGCCCATGGTATCATAATGACGATTGAATATTAGGGGCAACGGAAGGCATGCACGGATGGATGGAAGCGACAGCAGCTCGACCCGAGCCCTGGTCCGTGCGAAATTGCAAAATGATATAATTCAATGAGAGTTGATTAAATTATCAATGCTGCTTCGGCTGCTGCTGCTGCTGCTGCTGTCGCCATGCTAGGAGCAGCGGCGGTCCTACATTCGGATGATGTTGTTGTTGTTGCTGTTGTTGCTGCTGTCGCTTGTTGGCTGTTCGCTGTTGCTTGTGTGTCTTGTTAATGAAATTTTCCGCTCCTTTAGCAGCCGCCCCCCATTTGTGTGTATTGTTTACATGCCTCTGCCAATGTGTGTGTGTGTGTGTGTGTGTGTGTGCATGTGTGTGTGTGTGTGTTGCTGTTGCTATTTATTATTGCAAATTGTAGCTGGCGTTGCTGTTGTTGGGTCTTTTGTCTGTTGTTGCAACTGATGATGATGACGTTGACGTTGCATGATGAAATAACAAACCGGATTAATTTGATTTTGAAGCCAAGCCGAGGCAGTTGAAAGCCGCTTTGTGAGCGCCCCCCCCGCACCAACGTCTTCGCAGCGACTTGGAGAGAATTGTGTTGTCCTCATTGCAGTTAATTTTGTCATGTTTGTAGGTGTTTATATATATGTATATATATATATGTGTGTGTGCCTATCAAATTAATTTAGCAGCGATCAAGTTGCTTGATGCCTTCATTTATGTTTTTCTATGTGGGAGGCAATTTCGGCGACACCTAAAACTAAATATCGATTAGAAATGCGGCAATCTTTTGCACAATCTTTGTTTTATTTCATCCATCAATTAACCATCAATAGCACTCTTTGACACACATTGTTTACTGACTCGATAGGTCTAAGCAATTGCAATTAGGCTGGCATAAGAATAAGCCAATCACATAAGAATAAACCAGAATCTTCGTAACGCATTCATTTTAGGAAGTGTCAATTAAGTTGTAATGGATGGGTTCGATGCATGATTCAAAAATCCTCGATAGTTTTGTGCGACACATCGACCTTGTGACAGATTTCTTAGCCGATTGGGCGTAGATCTCAAAATCATCGGAAAATAAATTTCAAACCAGATAGAATACAGCAGCAAAAAGATGAAGAATGGTTTAGTTTGTGGGCCTAGTGAATAATTTAAGCAGCTTTTAGAATTGTGTGGAAAGTATAGGCATATTAAAATTCTGTAGCGAGGGAAGGGGAAGGGCATCAATAAAATAAAACTAGTGCTGCCTGGGGCTTAGAAAAGTCTACTTACCAAGTTTGGCTTAAGTGGGCTCAGCCGTTTTCGTAAGCCAAGCGCCCATCCAGACAAACAAATTGATTGCCATCGTTACGCTTATTAATACACAATATTTAATTTATGACTTCACAACTTAATATTAGTAATTCCATTACAAGATATTGGATTGTATTGAAAAGTCGGCGACAAGCTAGAAAATAGACTGCTCCCTAAAGCTATGGTCGGACTGCCAAATTTTTCAAAGATCACAAGTATGTGAAGAAATTAATGTTTCTTCTCTTAAAACCAATTCGACTTATACGACCAAAATGAAGTTTTCTGCTTTGAACAACTTCTCTGGGAATTACTTTTAAAAATCAACTCTATACTATATACTGTATTCAACTTTAGGCGCGCGCTTCCCTATTGGGCATATATCATAGCACTTGCATTCCTCGTCGGCTGACTGGGCTGGACGCCAAGTAGTTGTAAATAAATTTGCTGGGCAGCAACGAGGCGTACTGAGTGGCTGCAGACAGCAGGCTGCCAATCTCTCTCTCTCCCTCTCTGTCTCTGTCCCTGCCTCGCTCTCATACGCTGTATACGCATGAGATTTATGGGCCAAGACGAAGGCGCTTTATGGCAGTTATCAGTTTGCCAATTCGTGGGCACCTGCCAAAATGAAATGGGAATGAATGGGAGATGAATAAAAATGGCTGTGGCAAGAAAGGCAGCCAAGCCGGTTTCTCTTCGCCTGCGCCCCCAAATGGCCCCTAAGTCTCCACTAAACGCTAGAGGAGCCCCACCCCCTCCGCAACTGTTCTTGCAGCCAACCAACCAACCACTTCACTTAACCCGCACGATTTGTTGCGATTTTCCCAATCTCTTGCACATGCCTGCTGTTTGACTATATTGCTGCCAGCACCGAAACCTACTCCCCCCAAGCCATCCATCCCTCGGGGTCCACCCTTTCTTTTCGTGACGAAGCACCAACTAAGTTATTTGCTGGCTTTGGCCCGTGCCAAAAAGAATTTCAAGAAAAATGTCGCCACAAGCTGCCTCCCCATAGACTCCACCCATCCAAGGCATCTATGTAGACATGCCTGGCCAGCGCTGCTTTTTTTTTTTGCTGCCTTTCTGCTGCCTGTTTTGCATATTTTGCTTTTTATTATAAATTTTCCTTTTGCAGCTTTCGCCACTGGCCGCCATAGCCACTTCACTCTTATGTCGTTGGCGTTTTTTCTTCTTCATCTCCTGTCCCTGACTCCTGCATCGTTGTCGTCGTCGTCGTCGCCGTCAACATCCTCGTCGATTTCACTTTAGTGGGCAATTTTTGCCGCCCTTCTTTGTCCGCTCCCCCTTTTCCATAGTACATGACTAATAGCAGAACTAAACGATTTGATGGACCAGAAAAATGATGACTTCTTTTTCGGTTCAGAGTGTCGGCGCAAAAGGACTGGGATGAGCATAAGGAGGGGGTGGCTACCAGCTCGGGCTCGAACTCGAACTCGGTTCTGTCTCTCGCTTTTGTGTGCGTGTGTGTGTCTATCTGCGAGGGTTGAAGTCAAAGTTAAATCCTTTTGCTTCCATGCCTTCCATATAGTGGTTTGACTTTGTCAGCCACTAGCCACTATGCATACAGAGTGGTTCCCCACCCACAACCACACGCACACCACCTCCCTCAACCGCTGGCTCTACCTCCTCTTTGGCTCGTTCATGTGCCAAATCCTTTTATTGTGACAGTTGTTGTTGTTGTTGTTGTTGTTGCCGCTGCTGCTTCGTTTTGTGATCAACATTTAATGTTTTCTTATTATTGTCAGGCTGTTCATTGTTGTTGCTGGTGTTGCATGAAAATCGGTTTAATGTTTTGGAAGATAATCTAATTTGGTCACTTATATGCGAATATGTATATTATTTGCTATTATGTGAGTGTGTGCGTGTGTGTGTGTGTGTGTGTGTGTGTGTGTCCATCTAAGCCCGTCTGTCAGCATTCAAGTGTGTGTGGGTGTGTGCTTACAACTCAATGGGGCATCACTAGACCCTGTATTAGCATTTAAAAAACATTTTATTTACATTTTTTCAATTTGAACTGCTTTTCATTAAATAATTTGCAATTTGCATTGGAACCTTCGGACCAGAGACACAGACTGGACGTCAATGGAGATGCTGGACCCTTGAGGTCCTTCTTTAACAGACTTAGTGCCACTCATTGCACTTTATTCCGTTTGGTTAAATAGACTTATGTGCCTTTTAAGATGTGTAGTTTCTTACAAAAAAAAAAAAAATAAATAAATAAATACACCGTTCTTCTTTTGTGCAATCCCCATAAACGAAAGCCTCTGACTTTACTTTTATAAACCAACAAATCAATTTAGAGGCACTCCACAGCAATTTTGTGTTAAAGATTAGCAGAATAACGAATACTCTACTACTCCCACTCAGACAACAACAAAGGGACTTGGATTTGTAAATTTTTGTTACCGCCGTCATTAGCTTGTCGCCTTTTTTCCAGCTCCACTTGGTGACCCGATAATAAAGCAATAGTTAATGCTACCATATCTTGATTCGATACCAAATAATTTTAATCACTGCTTCAGACCGGTAAGCTTTTGGAAGATGCTACAATACAGTGCCTACGAGTAGAACTGCTCTCCCTTATTTCTACCTGCCATGCAAATCTCTAGACACAGATGAATCAGTAATTACAAGTATAATGCTAGTGGAAGGTATTGAAATGAAATATACTATAATATTCAAATGTTATAGGCATGGGCTTGCTTCGATTTTGGTCCAATGTTCGTATCTTCATAAAATGTTTTCTTTAGCCATTCCTGCTTCAATCTAATTCAAGCATAGAATGTTTTGATTGCTCTCTGCTTCGTTTTTATTAAAGAACAATAACAGAAAGGCGAATAACAGGCAAATATTGCAGAAAAGCAACAAATCGTTGGTAGTAGTTTTATTTTTAAGAAAAACAATAACATATATGCATGTATTACGTATATACATAGGCCTTGGTGTTCACTATAATTCCCGTCAGCCACCGTCTTAAGATTCTTCTTGCAATCGGCAAGCTCTCGAACTGGCAAGAAATAGAGATTCCTGTTGCTCCTTGTTTTTAAACAAATTTACCGCATAACTGTTTCTAGAGAGATGCAACGATACAGATCTACAAGTATATAGACTGCTTGGAAAGACGCATAAGATGTAACATGTAGTACATATAGTATATTATTTCAAAAACTGTTTTACTTTTGTGATCGATATTTCGATTTGTTTTCGATGCTGCTGCCTAATGGATCTGTATAGATGCTGTCAGAAATATTTAAATCGCCACAACTATATACATACTTGTACATGTACATACATACGAGTATATTTTGCATTTATATTGTATTTGCAGGTGTGGTTCCAGAACCGACGCGCCAAATGGCGCAAAACCGAGAAGGTGTGGGGGGGCAGCACCATCATGGCAGAATACGGACTCTATGGCGCCATGGTGCGTCACTCGTTGCCGCTGCCGGACACTATTCTAAAATCGGCCAAGGACAACGATGCAGTGGCACCCTGGCTACTAGGTATGGAACAGAAATGTAAATGCAACAATCATATCGACAACTAAATGCCTAAACCTATACACACAAACATTCACATTCAATATGTAGTATACTTGTATTTATTTCTCCAATCCACACAATAATAGGCCAACTGCCGATTTAATTAAAAGCTCTGAGTGGTGCTAAGGCGCCAGCTTGCGGATTATAAAATGGCATACTTATATGCCAAGGGGCCGACTGACCTTAATTTTGTGAGCATATTTGGACGCCACTAGTCGTCATATGTTGCGTGAAATTTCCTCAATCCTACGGGCATATACTTGTACCAGAGACAGAGTTCTCATCAATTGCGGCGCGCGTTCGAAATGACTTTGCGGATTAGCAGGCAAGGCAGTTAACAAGTGCCTGGCAGATAGCTAGGGGGTGAGGATTGAGGGTAGCAAGGGTGGTTCTGACTTTCCGCATACTATTTATTTGTTAATAATCGCTTAATAAATGCAAAATGCACACGCGACCCCGGCCCCGGCCCTGGCCCTGGCCCTCTCTGGTCCGAAGGGGATGCACAAAGGGGTGGATGGGGTGTTTGATGAGCCGGCTGCTGCTTTATTTGGCATTCATCGTTTATCTATTTCCATTGTTCGGTTCCGCCGACACATCCACTACACATCCAAATGTCGGGCATGCCGCATGCTTGAACTGTTGACGATTTTCCGTTCATTCGGATTAGTCTGGTCCTTGTGCAGTAGTACGAGTAGTGCATTGCCAGTTCGTCCTTGCCCACCCCCCCTCCAGTTTATCGGGCACTTGTCTCTGGCCTAGAATGCAGCCACTGCTGCGTTTTAATTCTCTGGGTGTAACGCAAATTAATTTCCGAGTAGCCCATGACGTGCCCGGCAATTTTAAGTGGCTTAGCGACGGCTTAGTTGGCAGCGGAAGTGTGAGTAAGATTTCTAATTAAATATGTCAAATTAGTTGTGAGAACTTAGAGACACCGCGGCTTCTCATAGCTCCTACACTGCATACACTTTTATGCCCGTTTTTAGAATGCTTTGTTAACCAATTATGTTAACCAGCTAACACTATTATAATGGAAAGGGGAAGGCCATAAGAAACTTAATATTTCATTTTCTCCGTTTTTTCTATAGCTGAGCAATCTGATAAGGTTCTGATTATGACTCATTAGTCTTAATATACTTATCAGTTAATATACTTGTACATATGTTCATCAATGTTTCTCTCACTTGCATCTTTGTTGTATTCCCTTGTCTTTAAATACTTTTCAATCCTCCATCTCTACCTCTTGTTTATTTGTTTATACATATTTTTGCTTGATCTATTAATGTTTATGTGACCTCTCTCTTTTAATCTTTTATCTTGTTTATCCCCATCTTATCCAATTGCTTCTCGTTTTATATCACCTTCCGTGCTCTTCACAAGACTGTCAGCGTTTCAGCTTTAATCTCCACAACACTCTTCCCATCCTTCCACTCACTATTTGCTACTCATTTTGTTTAATTGTCCATTTTGGTGACATTCTCGCTCTCAGGCATGCATCGCAAGTCCATTGAAGCACAGTCCGCCCTGAAGGACGACAGCGGTGTTAGCGATCATGAGGACTCTGCCGGCTCCAAATCGGTGCATTCGGATGAGCTGCGCTCACATTCTCGCGCCCTCAGCTCCTCTACGGAATCGCTGAACGTGGTCAGTCCGGCGCCAAGCAGCTGTCCCACCTCCGCCTCCACAGCGCCGCCAACCACAACATCGACGCCGCACGGCAGCAGCGGCTACGCAGGCGCCACACACTCCGCCTCCTCAGCCGCCACCACGCCCACGGGCGCCTTGACAAACAGCTCGGGTTCCCCACATATTGAGCTGAGCACGCCGTCTCCTCAGCACCCGCAGCCGCAGTCACAGCTGCCCCAACAACAACCACACCATGCCCAGCTCTTGCCGCACGCCCAGCAGCAGCAACAGCATCCACATCCCTATTTGGGCAGCGCAGTCTCAGCGACGCCCTCCTACCACCCACTGCTCGATGCGGCAAACGCAGCCGGCGCCGGGGCCGCTGCCTCCAGCAAGGACTTTCACATGATCATGAACACGGCCGTGGCGGCAGCAGCGGTCGCTGCCCAGCAGCAGCAACAACAACACCCCCCGCACCACGCCCTGCATGCCCATCACCTGTCCGCCGCAGCGGCAGCCGCGGCGCTCATGGAGCACGATCCGGATGCGTTCAGGTGAGCCTAGCGTGTTCAGACAACCAAAGCAGGATGCTTATTGTATCTTCAACAATGTTTTGTTTCTTTTCTTTGCTTTTATTGACACTAATGATTTTAAATCTGGTTAATTTCCTCCACTGCCAAGTAGAAGGGTGCAAGGGAGGAAGAAGGAATGCGCGACCAAGTGTTATGGGTACATATGTACATACATATACATACATATATGTATATACATACATACATACATACATACACACATACGTACATACATACATACATACATACATACATACATACATACATACATACATACATACATACATACACACATACATACATACATACATACATACATACATACATACATACATACATACATACATACATACATACATACATATATGATCAGCATGATAGGTCGAGCCCAAATCGCGTGTTTCAATCTATTTGGCACAGACAGGTGTCGAGGCCGAGCTGGCCAGATCTCTATTTCAAGTACGGAGCTGCCAGTTGTTTAGTTTCGTGCGTTGGCAACCCCAGCGAGTCTGGTAGACTACTTTAAAGTCAGTCAGCTGTTGCTGACGGCTGGCTTAAAGGAGATATTCGAAAAAAAGAAATCGTCAAAGTTCTGTGGCGCCCCCGATAGAAACGTTACGATTTTAAAATAAATGTTGCATCCTCAACTGGTTTATTTTTACAGAGATGTGAAACACAACTGATTATTAACAGTGTATCCATTGAACGAAAAAGTGTAATTGGAGGTTGTACACAAAACAGAAAGGTAGTTCTATCCATCAATATTGGCAAGAAGGTCCCTTTTGCCCCAATGCGCCCAAATCCGCTCTAGCTATTGATAGAATGAAATAGAAAGATACTGGACTATCGTGAAGGAAAACTGGGAATAAAGCAGAATTTTAAAGACGTGTGCAGAATGAAGAGAGATAAGCAAGCAATTCGAAATGAGAGAATAATTGTACATCATTGTAATCAGAAGTAAATAATTATATAATTATATTCTTAAGACAAAAAGGGGTGATTTTTGGCAAGCTTTGATTATAAATAACTTAGATGGGAAGCAATTGTGCTATTTCTTTAAATTCAAAGCCGATATCTTCGGGAAATCTTCGGACCGAAATATAAATATGAATATCTGTGGCTTCTCAATAGATGAGATGCATTTTTTGTAGTAAAATGCAGAGAACATGTTCCAGTATGATTTATTTAGACAAACGTTTTTTTTTTGAATCAACACAACACTTTCTATATATGTATGTACATACCTATTTGTTATAGCAGTTACAAACAATTTGTGCGTAGATAAATAATTATAGGTTTTAAAAATATACATACATATGTAGATTTTACATAGTTTTTCTTTGGCATCAACAGAAACAACTCAATCGCCTGTCTCCGTGCCAAGGCGCAGGAGCATCAGGCCCGTCTGCTCAACAATGGCGGCCTTTTTCTGCACGTGCGCAGCTTTGCGGCCCAGGCCCAAGCTCAGGCGCATGCGCACGCCCACGCCCATGCTCAGGCCCAGGCCCAGGCCCAAGCCCAAGCCCATGCCCAGTGTGATATTGCCAAACCAGATGAGCGGATCAACAACAACAACAGCATAGAAAGTGATGTTTATGGGGCAAGTGGAAGGACCCAAGTGGCGCTACCAGCCGCACCAGCCTCGTCGGCACATCCACCGGCGCCGCACCTCGTCAAAATGGAGCTGACGTCAAGTGGGGGCAGCGTAACGTCGTCCTGCGAGGACGTCTGACGGTTCTAGGCAATACATATGCCTATTTTCCTATAACAGGAACATACACACACATATATGATTCAAATAATAAATTACACGATTGTATAAATACATACATACATACATATGTAAGTAAATATTAGCGCTAGCTTTTTTTTCGATAGGCCTAAAACATTTACTGTCTTATATCCACGTTTAAGCTTTTTTTTTGTGAAGCGCAAAGATTTGATCTATCTATTTTAAATCTCGTACGGTATAGCTAAGATCATTTTAAAATTCTAGCTGTACAAATTAAAATGTAATATTTTTAATAAATATCCAATTACTTTTTTTGCAAGCACTTCAAACGGTGTTTCCTTCATTCTTCCTTTCAGCAATTCACGCCTTCATTGTAGCCGATCCCTCCCTTCTAGTACAAGTGACGAATCCATGTCTTATCCATGCATAAGATGGTTATGAATCGACGGCTTTATGTGAAATATCGCCAAACACTGGATTGATACATTCTCAAGACGCTGTTTTTGTTCCAGTGTTGGCAAACGCTCCAATTCGTCTCTCAATATGCGATGTACAGCACTTTTTGAAATTACACTTAATTCGGTTTTTACACGGTAGGTTGGTAAAAAAAAGGCATTGATCATAGGCAAAAAAAGGTAATCGGTTCCTTATAATTTATAATGTGCATAACGATCCATATCAGAATGGTTTCTAGCTGTTTGTCATCTGTGTGTATTTTTATTTATTTATTTTGTGTTATTTTGAATCGTGCTAAATGGAAAAAAGTCGCGTAACCACATATAAAATTTTTAATTTTCAAACCATGTTAAATCAAAACCGTGTAAAAGAGACCGTGTAAAAACAGAATTAGGTGTACTACCAATTCTGCTATCTTACTTACTTTCTATAGGCGGTCATCCACTACCACTTTGTAGATTTATTTGACCATTTCTAGCGTTATCAGGATCAGACAATAATATTATGATAATATAATTAATAATATGAGGAGTTCCTAATTTAATTAAAAGCCAGCATCAAATTTTTGTTCAGAAGTATTTCGGATAAAGAAAACAAGTGGAAGAGCTTTGTGCTGTATAGAGTTAAGTCAAAGCAGCAACAACAACAACAACAGTTGCTGGCAAAGCTTATGCAGAGATTATTTTTAAAGCTACTATAACTTCCTTAACAATTTGAGCCTAGGACGTTTTGGAGGGGAATGAGAAGATAGAAAGCATCTGTCTCTAGCTTTTATAGAGAGATCTGAGATTTAGCTGTTCATATGGATGGGCGGACATACACACAGACTTGGCTAAAGAGACTCCTTTGTCATGCTGATCAAGAAGATATATGTACATACATATATGTTTTGAAAGGTCTTCCACGTCTCCTTCACTTTGCACAAATCTTGTGCGCCAGCCTGGCAGCCTATGTCTAGTAATGCTTTGATATCTTTTGTATTAGAGTACAGACATCACAATTTGTATACCCTGTACCCGAAAGGTGAAAGGTCTCTCATGTTCGTATGAACACCGATATCCTTGAAACCATAACAGCTAGGGACACTCAACTTGGTACGTAGACTCGTCTTATCCATACGCAGAGCAAGCGTATCACGAGCCGTACACTCAATATTTTATTTAGCACCGAGTGTATTATTTCAAGCAGTATAGCATACATCGGATGGAAAACTCGCTGATGGAGATGAAAGCTTTACTATAGACCAGGTCTACTCTACTACTAGTATAAGAAAATTTCACAATATGAGCGATAGGTGGCGCCATTAGTGGAGACGCAAACCGTCGTAAACTTAACGCTGCTAATATAAATTTGTTCTTCTATTGTCTACGCACGAACACCGCGCCGCTCGGTACAAGAATTATTAAATGCAGATTTTTTCTGTTGTGTCGTCTTGGGAATTGTTGTAAATTTGTATTTTAAATTGTAATACATAATTGATATTGATAATTATCAAATTGGAACAAAGATTGCAACGGAATACATGCATTTTAAAAACTGTGGTTTAACAACTCGCGCAATATTCTAACAGTATATTCTATTACACTTACTTTTAGTTTTTTAATTATTATTTGCATGTGAAATGTGAAGATTGCTTAAACTTATTAAAAAGCAATATACATACAAATGGAAAATCTAGAGTCGAGTGTCCCAACTTTGAAATACCTTGTACCCATGTGTACATAAATTATGTAAATTTAAAAAAAATAAACAGAATGGAAAATGTAAAAGTATATTAATTTTAAAAAATAAACAAATGTGAAAAAAAGACAATAAACAAAATTGTAATGAAAACAGAAACTACATTTTAATCTATTCTCCTTCGGGAATCGAACTCACGTCAATGGTATCTGAATACAGTTTTACGACGGGGTTGTGTCTATGCGTGCAGTGCTGCCATTTTAGCTTTTCCCCGCTAGATCTGGCTTATTTTAAAATGCCAGTGCGGGAAAAATTCGAAAATAGCGGGTTGCGGGAATTCTATCTTTAAAAAAATGTATTTAGCCTTTTTCTAGCTTTACTTTATTTTTCACCATATAATTTCTTCCTTATGTTTGTCAACACTTAAAATCGTGAATATAAGCAATGACTAGCGACTTTCGATAATAAAATCGATCGAAATCACCTCCAGGATTGAGCATAAGCCGTTTTTTTCTTCTTCGCTGCGTTAAGATATGTGTAGAATTAAACAATTTTAGCTTCAATTTAATGTGAATTTTCTATTATTATTTTTACAAGAATATAGAATTAATATGAAAACATTGAAAAAGATATTTCCCCAAATTTTAAGTGCTTTTAAAGCCGGCTTTTTATTGGCAACAACAACAACAGCTGCTGACAGAGCTTACCCATAGATTACATTAATGACTGTAACTTCGTTTAGAGTAGACCTAAGTAACATAATCAAAAGCCAGACGGACACACAAACAACCGGAAAAAAATGCCAAAAAAATGTCCAAAAATTATCAGAGTTTTAAAGAATCCCTAACAGCGTGGTAGTGGGGGAAGAAGAAAATTTAATAAATATAAATAAGAAGATAGGCGCGGCTGGTGAGGAAACAAATGTTTAAGCTTCAACAACAACAAATGTTTCAAAAGAAAATAATTTTGTTCAATTTTCTTCGTCGTTTGTAAAAATTGTGAACATTCGAGCTCCAAGAGGATACAAGTATAACCAAAATTTAACACTAATCTGTATGAAAAAGGAAAGAGTTTTCATTCATATGTATGTATGTATGAATATCATATCATTCAAAATTGTTCCTATCAATATCATATCATAATTTTAAAAGAAAAATTCCGCATACCAGAAATATTTTATTATCTTAGTACAAGTATTAAGTATTATTAGGGAAATTAATTTTTCAGCAAGAATTTCATGTCGATATAATTTTCAGAGCTTATACTAACAATATTATTTGGAGACAGTAATTTCAGAATGCTCAAATACAAGTACTATATGATGAATAAGTAAAGGAGATATCTCATTCATTCATAATCGTCCGCAGAAATAGCCCATAATTGACCAGGCCCTGCTGGTTAACCATCTCTTTGGTGAGGACGTGCAGTTCCTGGGGTGAGAAGGTATCGCCACTGCGATTGAGCACCTCGAGCAAGTGTTTGAAGTTAATAAACCCTGTTCTGGCGGCATCCCAGTGGCGCAACTCCTCAATAAAGTCGTCGCGCCTCTGCATGTCCAGGTCTAGAGCATTGCGACCCAGGGCATCCAGATAGATCTGGGCCTGCTGCAGCTTTTTGTCTAAGTCGCCATCCTTCTTGTACATGGCACGCACGAGCGCCTTATAGTTTACATTTCCTTTCGCGTCCGTGGCGCTATCCAGCAAGATGGCCACCTCCTTGTCGTCCAGACGCTCACCCATCGTGGTGAGCATGCGTCGCATTTCCGCATAGGGCAGTACACCCAGGCCAGTACCATCGCAGGCGCGCAAGCCCTTCAACATTTCCTCGGGATCCTGTTGCTCATTTAAATTGGCCAGAGCGCAGTAAACGATAAGGACGAGCTCAAAGGTAACGCGTTCCTGTCCATTTTTGGAGATGCGATCGTCGATCGCTTCAAGGCTGGTATTAAGCATAGACTCGGTGGGATCGAGACCCATGGCGCGCAAGCATTCTGGCACATCGTTTATATCGATGCGCCCACAACCGTCCCCATCGTACAGCTGAAAGGTGTGCCGCAAACGTGCCACATGTGGCAACATCGCAATCAATTCCTTACGCTTCCGAAACGAGCCGAAAACGAAGGTGCGCTTTTTAGTCCGTGGGCTTGCCAATTGCTGTTTTAGACTCGGTTTCGATTGCAGAGAAATTTTGGGTTTTTGGTTCGGCTTTGGCTTCACTAACACCTCCTCCTGCTTCATTGACCCTCTCATCTGCTTCACTGGTTTCTCCTGCTGCATCACTGGCCTTTCCACTACTTGCCTCACTGCCTCCTCCTCCTGCTTCACAATTTTTTCGCTCTGTCTGCGCTGCAACTGCTGTGCCAGCCTAGCTGCTTGCTTTTGTTTTAACTCCTCCATTAGACTGTCTCCTGGCTTCTGCTGTAGATTTGGGAATGGTTTCTTCTGCTTTAGGTCCTTATGTGCTTGCTCCTGCCTGGGCACTACATTCTGTTTCGCCTCCTGCTTTATCTTGATCTCCGCCTTCAATTGAGGCTCTGGCATTACCTTTCGTTTCGACTGCTGTGCTGTCCTTTGCTTCGGCTTTCGCTCCGGACCTTGTTTAGGCTTTAGATCCTGCATTGACGTCTGCTTTATTTCCAATGTGGTCCTCTGTCTGGATCTCTGTGGTGGTCCCATCTTTATTTCTTTTACTATCACATCTGGAGTTGGCCTTTGCTTCATTTCTAGAATTGACTTTTGTTTCAATTCTCGCAACACCTTCTGATTGAGTTCTTGAACGTTCTTCTGTTTCATCTCCTGGACTGGTCTCGCCTTCGTTTCCAGTGTCAGCTTCTGCTTCACCTCCACAGCCGGCTTGCGCATCAGTTCTGGCTTTGACTTTTGATGCGGCGAGTGCTTCTTGGCCTGGCGATTCATGATTTTTTTTTTTTAATATCCCCTTCTAAACAATTTTTTGGAAAAGGATAAAGAAAATTTTAACAAATTTTGCGGCAAAAAGTTTTAAATTTGAAATATCAAATGAAAAAATACTTCCTTTTGACGTCGAAAGATGCAGCTGAACTCGATTTATAATGCAAACGTCAACTGAATTGTCAAATTTGAAATCTCCTTTCAACAATTGAGGGTAACGAGTCGACGAAGAATTTTCTCAATAAATAGATGATTTGGAAATTATTATTAATAAGTTCTGTTGTATTATCTTCTTCAGTAAGTAGTAAGTATTTTATGAATTAATTAACCAGCAATATACGCGACAGGCAATATACGCAGTGTATTAACAAGATTACTCCTCGGGCGCGTACTCAATGAGATCGTCGAAGGCCAGTTCGCCGTCATCGACCGCCTGAACCAGATAGGGAGGCTGTCCTTCCTGTATGATCCCCTCGACTTGCACAATTTCTCCAAGTTCCACATCTTTCCTAATCTCTTCGCCATCCCCGCCGTCATTTCCGTCAGCTGTCAGCTGCATGCCAGCCACCACACTATCATCCCGGTGTACCACGTACATGGGAGCATCGCTGATGTCCAGGCTGATCCTGTCATTGGCATTGTAGTTGACAACGCCGTCGCCACTGCAGAGCAGGACTAGTGGACCATCCTCAAGCGAAATCTCGCGCATGTAGTGGCCGCTCAGTGCCTTCGGCTCCTCCTGAGAGGCGCAGGGCGCATAGCTGCCGTCGTCCTGGCGCACAAACACCTGCTCCTGTTGTTGTTGCTGCTGTTGGAGTAGCATTTCCTGTTCGAACTGCACCTGCTGGCCAAAAAACTGCCAGTGATCAGTGGCCGTTCGAATGTCCTCTTCGCACAGCACCTTATCCTCCTCCACCTCCTCGGTCTTGACGGGCTTGCTGGCAGCCTGTGGCACTGCCTCGCCCCCCACGCCCGAGTCGTCCTTTAGGATTCGAGCTAGCATCATCCCCATTCCCTCGTCTTGGTGGTCTGATGCAGATGGAGGAGCATTGATATCAAGTATCTTGCTGGTTGTGGGACTACAAAATACCAGCATTAGACTAAACACCAAAAGGGGGAATTTCACAATTCCTGAACCCAACTCACTTGTATTTGGCATAAAGTGTGCGCCTCAAAGGTCCAATTTTTAACTTTTCGTTCGAACTCATCTGCTTGATCTGCGCTAGAGAAGTATTTATGTGCGGCATTAATCTTTTTCTTAAGGTCATGATGCTATGGGTTTCGCGCACAAGATTTATGCGTGGAAAGTTCGTCTTACGATCTTTCAAATTCAACTGCGACGACATTTTCTATCCTGATTTTCGCTTTCAATGAATTTTTTAATTGAAATTGTCGAGTTCGCCCGAACTTGTCTTTTCCGCAGTTACTTACAGCTTTGACAGTTTTTATGTGGCGCTCTACAGTGACTGACAAGTGCAGTATCGATATTTAAGCTGTTTCCTTCCCATCGATACGATTTTAAAACTTAATGGTTTCTCGATACTTTGTTTTCAAAAGCAGCAACGTTTTCCATCAAATAACATGAAAATGTGAAGCATGTGAAGAGGACTTTCTCAACATAGCAAAGCTTCCTCTCCTTCATACATATATGATCGATTATTTTTATAGATATTTTATTTATTTTATTTATTTATCCATGCAGTCACATAGATAGTTAATAGGTATTATTATCTCGACAAAAAAGGAAAACAAGTTTTCTAAATGAATCCTGAATCATTCCAAAAGCTATCCTCCAAGATCTTGTTATTCTACTTTTTATATAACATTAGACGAAGAAAGAAAAAGTTTATTTTCCCAAGCCCTTGTCATTCTCCGTTCCAAATTTAAGGTATCTTATCACAAATTGTAAGTGAAATCCGATAAAAATAAAGCTTGCACATCAGCACCTTTTTTTAAATATCTTTATTTTTAATGAACAGGTATTCTTTAAAATTTCTTCTTCCATACGCAAGTTTTCAAATAAAACACTACTCGAATGCTGATACTACTACTATATCACCTTTATAATTCCGTGTCTGTTTAAAAGATTCGTATTTTCAACAACAATCTTTTTTAATCAATATTTTCTCCAGTAATATATTGCCCCTCAAAATATCAATATCGAAAATTCCAAAAACAAAAAAAAAAACCAAAGCAGTGCCATTTCATTTTCTATTGTAGTGCATAGAGGCTTTCATCGGCCTGTGCGATCGGTCCTAGAGCAGAGATCTGCCAACTCCGCGCAATTAAATATTTACTTGTTCGCAAGCTTTCATCTCGGCGCGGGCCTTTTTGTTCCGTAATTTAAAATTTGTCTTCCAAATTGTACATAAATTATCCGCAGGCTATCCAGGTTCTAATTATATATATACATTAAAAAATAGGATAGTTCGAAAGAAAAAAGATGGCCAATGCGCATCGCCAGCACTTGTATTTAAAAGCCGTCGATTTCTTTGACGGATCTAACCCACAGGGCGGTTTCTTCCAACTGCGAGAAATAATACTGATGAACGAGGAGATGAACGATGAGGAGCGCGAGCTGTGGATCGATATTGTACGCGCCATTGTGAGTTTATACGTCGATACACAGGAGTTGCCCACTACATTGGAGTTGAGGGAAGAACTCAAGGTATTTTTAATTGATTGTATTTACCTGCTGGAGATGCACCTGCTGCCCCTTTCGACTGAGATTACGGCCGACGTAAAATATTATGAGGAACTCGGAAACAGCTACTTCTACATGTCAGCTCTCACCGAGGGTGTGGAGGCCAGCATTTACAGCAACTTTTCTTTGAGCAGCTATGTTTACGGCTATGAGTTGGCATTGGAAGTATTTGGTCCATCCTATCCCCTCACTCTGATCAGCGCTGATAATATTGCACTTCTGTACAGCGACGTCTTCGATGACAAGGAAGTAGCACTAGAAGTAGCCGAGACAGCCGTAGATGCCGTCCACCTTGAACAGCACTTTACGGACAACAAAGAAGAAGAGGAGTTTGTGAACAAGATGTTGAATAAATTGGAGACCCATATTTTAAAATGGACTAAGGAATTGAAGCAAGGAAATTTGGGAAATACCAGTAAGTATACAGCATAGCATTGTTTTTCTTTTCTTCTTTTAATTTCCCTCAAACGAACTCCGTCAATCCCCCATTTAGATCTTAACTAGTGGAAACACTAGCCAGCAAATACAATGTTTCTTACACAATCACACAACAACCTGATAATGGAACAAACGTCCATAATGCTTCGAAAACAGGAACAACTACAAGGGAACACATACGTCTCTGAAGACATCTCTCAGCTTTACGGCAACACATTCCAGTAAAATCTTAACTACTGGAAACACAACGTTTCTTAGAGAACCACACAACCACCTGATAATGGAACAAACGTCCATAATGGGGTAAGTGGTGACATTCGTCTTAGAGCAGTTCTAGTTATACCTACATACTTCGAAAACAGGAACAACTACAAGGGAACACAGACGTCTCTGAAGACATCTCTCAGTTATATGGCAACACATGGCGGTTCAAAGTTGTTTACCATAATTGGGAATCGTTTTGAATCCAAGAGGGTAATTAACATAATCACTATCAATAACCAAGCACGGGGTTACACAACTGATACTGATGCTTATGAATAAAAGAACAATTCAATCTTAGGATAATGACCTCCACTAAACCGCCCTATATGATTAAATGTTTTCATGCACATAGGTCTGTCAGCCATCTATAAACTATCGAGATTAGATTACGAAAGCAATTGTTTGTATCGTTTGGTTTGCACACAAAACATCAATGGAAAAATAATTTATACTGGTCAATTTATTTTAATTATATCTATATATGATATTTTAAATATATAACTTCCATGCGAATTGTACCTGTTAAGTAGTTTATTTTGAAGGAGACGTTACTGGGCTATTGTGATATTTCTAACCCCGTTTCTAAATGGATATGTCAGCATAGAGGATAGATAATAGTTTTAATACCCTATATTTTTAATGGGCTTGGCAGGACTAGTTAATACAATCTTCCGGCTGCGCAGAATATAATACAATCAGTACTGGAAGTTCAAAAAGCAACGAACAAATACTCGTACATTTTTGTCCAGTTTTGATGAATTGGAAAATATTAATCAAGTCTCTAATCTCCAATGGCTCTAGAGAGTACCTGGGCTGTAGAACAACTGCCTATGCCAACAGAGTTTTTGCAATTCTTCAAGAAACAAATATCTAAGTAGAAATATAAGAAAGGTAATATAACCCTCAATATATTGTGGTATCTGGAAAGAAAAACGCCAATGCTTAGTTGCCCAAAAAATAATAGAGATTATTCGGTGTACGAGTATGTACATATATAGTATATATGATACGTTCAACCGACTTTGCAATATATGCTATTTGTATTGATGTAATGCTAATAAGTTTACAATCCCATTTATAGATCCTTTGGAATCCATTATGATTTGAAGCCGAACTTGCCAGCGTACATACGTGTATCCAATAAAATAAATGGAAGTATAGATCTAATTTGTAGTATTATCATAAAACCGATCTAGAATTCTTCAAACTACCTTCATTTATAAAATCTCTATGTTAAAATAAATAGCAAGTTCAAAATCTAAATGTAAATGCAATACTTTATTATTAATTATTTTCTAAAATTGTTCCAAATGTATGTAAATTCGTACGTTAATTTTATACAACATCGATAAAAAGAAATGCGTGTCTTCCAATAAAGAATTCGACATACATTTACGAATTACACGTGAATGCTTCAGCTAAATATTTATTTTATAAATATTATTTGTATTAATATTAGCGTCCTTCTCAAACTACAAAATTGTATATAAAAACACTTTCCCTTACTGTACTAATTGGTTGGCGTATAACATAAAATATGTAAGTGTTTGCGACACAAAATAAGAATAAATATATAGGTTTTGTATGCCGGGCAGTTTTTTGATTCGTAACTAATTAAGGTTTTACTGATGGATCGATCATTGGTGAACGTAAATTGTTTGACAACTGGCCCCAAAGCATTCTTTCTCTTGTTCATTCGTGCTGATTTTCGCTCTCCCTCTCCCTTTCTTTTTGTCTGTCTCTTTCTAAATCCAGTTTGTGAGACGGATGCTTGTGATTTTGGCATGGAAATCAGAGAAATGTGTTATTGGCCGTCTCAGGCAAAGATTGTCTTGCAATTGGTTATAAGCGTGGACAACATGAAAATTTCTTCGGTGAGATTCGTCAGATGCTGGGGCGTGGCAATCAGCGTGGGCGCAAATACAGTGGCAAGATTGTGCTCGTTCATTTTGTTGACGGCATAGTGCGAGGCAACTCTGTGGACCAAGAGTTATATTAATATGTGGATTATTTGTAGCCAGGATGGCTTACCGCTTCAAATGCTCCAGCATGTATTTAAGGCAGTTGTAATGCGCAGGCGGCAGACGTTTGGCTGCCTCGGCCATCAGCTGCAGCTGCTCGTTTAAGCCAACATTGCCTGACAAAGTGCACATAAACATATAGAAAGGATTTCATAATCTCAAATGTTACAGGACACTTACGCGCTGCAGCCATAAAACTGGGGTATGCCTGAAATGTGATGAGCGGAACAGGCAGCAGGCGCAAATAGAGCTTGAGGGTGCTGGCTATGACGGTCACATTGCCGTACGCGGCCTCGGACATGTCAGTCTTCTCACCATCACGATCCAACGCCAGCTTGAGGGCATCGATTTCATCGGCAAAGCCCGAGACCCGATAGATGCCCTCTTGCAGCATGCCACGCGCCTCCACCTCCTCGACACAGCGACGTACCACGAAGGGTATGGTGCACTGATGCAGCTGCACCATTGTGGTAAGATCGGTGCCAAAGACGCCGCGTATGCGCTTCAAGTCGGGCATACATTTGGGCGGCACCAGCTCCGAGCATTTGGAGTGAGCCACAAATCCGCAGGCATCGCATTTGACGCCCTGCGCCGTAAAGCCCCACAGGAAGTTCGCGCACAACTCGCACCAGTTCAGGCCCTTGAATGTGTGCACCTTGAAGTTGTGCGGCTTTTCGTAGATCACAGGCATCGGATCTACAGCGTTGAGCGGTTGTTGGGCTTGTGTGATGTCATTGTCTTGTGGATTCGCTGTGACGCCGCTGGGCGCCAACTGTTTCTGGTCCGGCGGCACATCGTTAGCCAACTCATTGGAGAGGGCACGCAGCTTGCGCCGATTGAGAGTCATGTACGGACTCTGCTGGTAACAGTTTTTGGTTTGTTGATTGATCTGCTGTATGATTGGGCCGGCACGCAGCTGCATATAGAAAGTAATAAGTCCGTCTGCGACCATATCGTGCACAGTCTCATAGTGCTTGGCCTGATCGCGCAAATAATGTCCCTTGCCAGGCTTATAGAACACCTTGAAATGCTTGGTCCGCTTATTGAAGCGCACGCTCAGCGTGTGATAGTCCCGAGCCTTCGGACTACGCCGCAACATATAGCTGCCGTCGCAGGCATTGGCCAGCAGCTGTTCCGCCTCGAGATGGCCCATCACGCCATGATATACCGATCCATACTGACTCACCGCCAAGGCATCTTCGTCCTTCGTTCGCACTCCTCCTCCACCATCGACACTGCTTTCGTTATTGGTGTCGGTATTAGTCGGAAGCGCCCATATGCAACACAATGGCTTGGGCGCGGGTGCCTCTAACTGTATTTTATACACTAAAGAGCAAACGAACCATATGCTTCAGATATACATATCTATGTTCATATATGCGAGTGTATGCATGTATATACATATGTGTGCGTGCTTGTGTGTGTGTGTGTACTTACGCTCTGGCTTCCAAACTTTCTGGACTGGCGAACTTGGTTCTTGGATTGCGGCACGCATCGCTATGTGCCCGTTGCGTTATAGCGCTGCAGAAACGCTGAGCGCTAGTTTAAGGAATACAGCTTAGCACGGTACTTAGCTCTTAGGCTTAAAAATACTTAAATTATGGCTATGTGCAACATATTTGCGTTTGTTTACCTCAGCTGCTGCACCCACCATATATACAAAAATTTGTGGGCGATGACTGTTCCACTTCGATAGGCAGCGCATATGCAACCGATAACAGGCTACAACGATAGGCAAAGGGTATTCTAGCAACTAACAAACAAATTTTCCATTTCTCATACGAAAAGTTTGATATGGCGGGAAACCAAATCGCAATGTCGTCTATCTGTTTCAATGAATACTCCCTTTGCAATTATAGAACTATCGCGTTTTATTTGATGGGCGCAAAATAGAATAGATAATAAAAACTATATATAGACAGAGGGTTTGTATGAAAAACTAATTTGTTTTTAGGATAATGGAAACAAATTAAAAATTGAGAATGTTGTCATGCCCGAGTATAAGTACCATCCACGTTTGTGTCAATAAAATTGGCATTCCAGAAGAAAGAATTTAGATTTCATTTAGATTAGAAGTAGACGAATGACATTTTAAAAAGTAAATATAAGTAGTATGTTCTGAATTCCGTTTGTCAGGCCATATTATTCAATAGCTTTGTGGTCTTCAGAATTTGAAAAAATCTGACAACATACTTGTATGTCACTGCAGTTGATTGCTTTCTAATTTGAAAGGATGTTAGCCCAAACGCCTAAGCCGTTTTACATAAAAATCTGATTCAGGGGATTAGAGGTTGTAGGAACACCCATGCTGACAGAACAAAGCCGTTGCTGAAAAACCCCATATTGAATCTGTTGCATTCATAATGAAACAGAGGCACATATATATTTTAAAGTTGTTTGAAATTCAAACAAACATTCTATTAACATCAATTCAGTAATTCTAATCATATTTAATAACCTACGCACTGATTGATTTCCGGGCACGCCCCAACTTGCTAATAAAACAACAAATGTATTGAATCTCACTTTTAATAACATTAAGTACGTTTCTTTTGTAAAAAGACCTACTTCACTTCTCATTTATTAAATACAATATTAAAACATTAAATTATTGAAAAAAATTAACACACACACATGTATAACTTCAAAGAATGCGCTGTAAATTAGAAGTGTTTCCATTAAACGCTAAAAATCCCCTTTTGTATAAGAATGCATATATAGTATGTATCAAAACAGAAACTATAATTTAGAAATACTTTTACGATCTCGTTGTCGACTTTAGTCCTTAGAAAATACATGGTACAAAAATTTCATAATAACTGTTCTTTTTTTTTAGAATAATACGCAAAGGTATTAGATAGATAGAGAGATATATGTATGTATAGATAATAAGTTATCGACGCGGCTATATGTATGTACGTGAATTTTGATATTACCCTGCATCATATACATATGTAACGTTATTAATATATTCAAAAAACGACTTGATATTACTGTATTAGTTAGTGTTCTGTGGTGTTGTTAACAGGAATAATTATCAGGAATATTACATATTTGCACAGACGGGCTTCTAACAATTCTATAATTTGTTCAAAATTCATTTTGAACATTGAACTGAGCCGAACCCAACACACTGAATCATTTTCATTGTGATTCACATTAGTTTAGAAAGTCGGAAGGGCTTGTTAGATTTTAGCTACAGGTGTTGTCGAGCTGTTTTCTTACAAAAACAAAAAGGAAAAAACGTGTCGTTGTTATAATTGAAAAAAATTGGAATTGGAATTTGCGGAATGAACGGCTAGCTAGCATGGCAGGTGAGTGTTGTTGTTGCTGTCGTCTTTTTTGCAGTGGCTCTGCTGTTCGCTGTTAGTATTTGGAGCCGTTGACCATTAACCGTTCATCACCATACGCACAAACTCCTCATAGTTTATGTTACCCTGCTGATCCTCCATATTGGCCAGCAACTGTTCGACCTCCTCGTCGGTCAATTTTTCGCCCAACGTGGTCAAGAGATGACGCAGCTCGGCCGAAGATATATAGCCGCTGGCATCCTTGTCGAAGTGGCGCAAGCCCTCGATAAAATCGTCGGCCGTGTCGCCGGAACGTGCCTTGGAAATGGCCTGGTAAATAGGTAGGAAGACCTCGAATGAAATACGCTCATCCGACTTCAGCTGATGCGTGCACTTCTTCACATCCGACTCGGTGGGATTCTGGCCCAATGCTCGCAGGCATTCCCCGACCTGGCTCAGCTGAATCTTTCCATCGCCTCTGTTGTCGAACAGACTGAAGGCCTCCTGGAATTCTGCAATTAAAAAGGAAAACATTCTTAGCTAATAAACATATCTCATATCATGTAATTTGTGCCCCCCTTTACACCCCCCACTTAGAACAGACCTTCAAGCGTTGTAAAAGTGGGCTTCACATGAGCCGTGTAGTAGTACATTGTGATGAATCGAGTCGAAAAGGCGACAACTGTTTATCTTGCTGCACTAACTGCTACTGAGCCGAGTTGCATTCTGATTGAGTGCTCACAGACGCTCCACCGCATTGCCATTGTTAGCTGCACAGTGGCCTCAAAGTGGCAGCTCATACGTACATAAGTACAACTCAATATATTTGAAAAATGATTATTAATTTTAAGACCTCCATTATTTCGTTTGGATGACAACTATTTTCCCCATTCGAGGGCTAAATACTACACAACTCCTTTGGAATTGTGTTATTTATGAGATCTCCGATATCTGCTCACACAAACTTCAGCACAACTCTTCAAAAAGTATCTGCATTATGAGTCGATCAGTGACAACAATAACGGGTTTTAATGGAATACTTTAATATAAATTTAAGAAAATCTGGTAAACGATTCAATTGTTAATTTTGTAACTGATATGAAAACCCAAGTATTATCTTGATAAGCCAGAGAATGAAAAGAATTATGAACACCCAGGTATTATCTTGATAAGCCAGAGAATAAAAAGAACTAAAACCACTGTGCCGGGTGCCTTGAGGCTCAGCTCAAGCGGACGGACAATTGTTTTGCTTTTGGAATGAGCAATGCAAACAAGTGGCTAGTAAGGTGCTGGAGCCCGCAGCTGTTTTTGCCTGTTTGTTATCAAGCGGCATGCAACAGCCAAAAGCAAAAGCAGTTGCTCGCCATATTGGGCACAAAAGCCAAAATAAAAACGTCAGCGTATTTGTCCATTTAAGGCAATGCGGTCAGCTGACGTCAGAGTCATCGTCGTCGCCGGTTGTTGAAGCTACTCAAGTAAATTGGTGACAGCGAGAACCACAGCTTGATAAGCACACACACACATACACACAGACACACACACGCGCGTGCAAAGTAACACGCACACACAAAAATCGCAACTATTTTTATTATTATTATTTTACTATAGTTCTGCAATAAGCAATCGATTTTGATTAAGTTATCAGAAAAGGTTGAAATGCTCAAGCAGTTGCGTAAAGATTCGTCTGAGCGTGCAGGGAGGCAGGCTTTTGACCCACAAATATGTATGAAGAGTCTGCCATTTAAGGCGGATTTCTTGTTCTACCAACATGGACATGACATGCATACACACACATACTCGTACAAACAAATGGGCATTCGTATTGATCGGATCAGTTGAGAAGAAACATTGACTAGCGTTGAGGTTCACTGCATGTTGCAGCTGCAGTCCAGCGGTGTATCTGCCCCGGAGCTGACCACGCGTTCTGGTCCAGTCCCCAACAGCTCTTCTCAACAATATCATCAAATGTCGTCAGCGTCGTCTGCCGCGACAATTGCGCAAATAGCGTGGAATTCAATACGACACGATACGATTCGATATTGCTAAATTGCGGTGGTGTTGTTGTTGTTGTTTTCTCTGCCTCTAACTGACTGACTGACTGGCTGGCTCGCTGAGGAGGGTGAGTCATCGTTGCCAACGATCGCCGTTCCCGTTGTACGCCTGTGGCTGGTAGCTGCTGATTTTGCCTTCCAGTGCCCGTCGTATGTTTATTTTATGAATGATTCACTCAGTGATTCACGCAGCAAGCATAAATTTGTGTAAACTGTGTCTTCTGGCTTGCTTTCTTTACATTTTACGCACACAGAAAGATGCACTAATATGAGCCAAGTAGCCAGCTATTTGTGTATGTTTCTAAAATGTAGGCTTACCGTTCCAATACCCGCACCCAAACCACATAACTCGCACGCACACATGTTTACATAAATGTGTAGGCAGTACTTACCAGCCAATTGATCTTCGGTGTAAGCAGCCTGTAAAACAATGAAAAACATGAAACATAAAACATAAATTCACATACGCATACATAAATACATTTGTTGCACATAAAAACAAGTGTGTAATGCAACTGCATTAAGAAAGGGCAACAACAAGCAGATTGTGTCAAGTACTTACCATATTATTAAATCTTTGAGTTCTTTTATTGAATAAGTTATTAATTTATTGTCTCTTTGCCTCTTTTTGCCGTCTGTTGTGCCTTTTCGGCCTCTTTATCAATCGTTGCCACCTCGCCACCAATCGATTGCAGCAATCGAATGATAATAAAATCGAATACTTATCAAAATAGTGCCAACAGTGCTGCCATACCGCACATGCTAGCGTGCAGCCATATCAGTAGAAGTGCCCACGAAGTGACGTCACAAAATGAATTCAAATATTTGAACACTTCTGCTAATATATAAAGATGAATTGAAAAAAAAGTTATAAATCTTTACTATTTTAGGAAAGGAAACCATTTTTTACAAAATAAAAAATGCTATCAAAAAACCTTTAATGCCATGATGGAACCAAGATTTTAATTTAAAATTCTAATATGTTTCTGATTTCATTAAAAAGATGTATTAAATAAATTTTGTAAGATTTCTAAATACATGGGAGAGGCATATGTATCTTTTTTATCTTCTGGGAAAGCAACCAACTCAGGAAGGTATGGAGTGTAGTGCTTCCCGAGTAATTTGAATTTTCGTGTTTTTCAAGAAAATATTACTTAAATGCAATACAATTTTAAACTTATGTTTTATTTTCCCATTTTTAAAACGTCTTAACATTAGTTTTATAATTTGTACTAGGCGTGAAATTTGATGATAACGCGTACATATTCAGGAAATCTAATTAAGGATTGGATGTCCGTAATGTCGTAGCACTTACTCTTCGGGCGGTACAGTTCTTGGGACTGTTGAGATCTTTGCCAGTAATCGTACCCAAAGCCGAATAATTGACGCTTTCATTTCTAGAAATTACAAAACTGACTCGCACTTAGGCCCGCTCAATTCGAAAAGGACTGGAGTCAATTAGCGAATTGAGCGCTCCTTAGGTAAGCATCGAAAAGTTTTATTTCAAATTTACATTACATGTATTTTGTGTTCTTCTTTCTACGCCATCTGCTTATATATGTGTGTTTGTGTGTGTATTTATATATTTTTTAGTGTTTCTCATTTGTAATTTTACATTTTTTTTGTTTGTGTTTTTTGAATTTTTTGTGTGTATACATTTTAGGGTTTTACAGATCTGTGGGGCTTCTCTTTATATTTGTAGAGGGTGTGTGCGTGTGTGTCTTGATTGTAATTCGTATTGCTTCGTCCTCACCAAAAAATATTAGCTAATATTTGCAGTGTACGATGCCTAAAGTTAAAACCTGCCTCACTCCACAGCTAATTTAACATTATTATTAATTTTTCGCGTTTTTTTTTTTGTTTTTTTGTTTTGTTTGTTTAAGGTTTGCCCTCGCCAATGAGTTTTCAATTGTGATTCACGAGTGGTTAGTGTGGATTTTAAAAAAATTTTGGCATTTAAATTAAATATGTTAAATATAAAGTTAATTATATTATAAAGTTATGTGTGTAGGTGTAGGTGTGTGTGTTTGTGGTGTTTTCGGGTCAATCCGAAATGCCTAGGTATCGCTCTTCCATAACTTGATGGTCTTGTCATTCTCCAGAGCGGCCGAGGCTATGATATTCTCTGTGGGATGACAGGCGGTGCAGAGGACGGTGTCGGTATGTCCCTGCAGTTTTTGTACTACCTCCTTGCTCTGTAGATTCCAAATGTACACCATATTGTCCTCGCTACCAGAGACAATCCACTATTCCATGAAAGAGCAGATGGTTAAAATTTAAGGCATTTAGTAAGGCAGTGATTGGGGCTTACCTTGCCGCCGGTAACGGAGAAATTGGCGAATATACAATACTTCTCGTTCTTGTGTCCCGTGTAGGTTTTAAGGCATTTACCCTTTGAGTAGTCCCACAATTTCAGCGTATTGTCCAGCGTGGCTGCCAGAATGTATTTGCCATTTGGCGAGAACTTGACGAAGCTTACTGGTGGGTTGTCGTCATCAATCAGCGTTTTCAGGCACTGACCACTGGCCGTGTCCCAGATGCGGCATAGCCCATCATAACTAGAGCTGACAATCAGAGAGCCGTCGCGATTAAAGTGGACGGCCGAGACGGGATCGGAATGGGCGGGCAGTGTCTTCAGACATTTGCCGGTGCGAACATCCCAGATGCGAACGCTTTCATCAAAGCTGCCGGACACAATCAGATTCGATTGCGGATTAAAATTGCAACAGAAGACATAGTTACTGTGACCCTTCAAAGTCTTCAGGCACTTTCCGGTGCTTAGCTCCCACACTTTCAGGGTCTTGTCATCGCTGCCGCTGACTAGCAGGCGCGAATCGGAGGACCAGGCCACATCACTAATGCCCAGCTTGTGACCAGAAATGGTTTTCTCAAACTTGCCATCGTAGGCGCCCCAAATCTTGATGAGTTTGTCGGCAGCTTCATAAGTAAATGAATAGAATTGCATGAGATTGCAGCTATTCAGTGATAAATGCATGATAAGTACTTACATGAGCTGGCCAGCCATTCGCCATTGGGACTGAACTTGACTGCGGATACGGCCTTGGTGTGGCCGGCAAGCGTGAACTTGAGCGTATAGTTGGGCTTAACCGACAACGAGCTCTTGTTCGATGGGGTATTTGTCGATGTCGATGAGGCCGAGCTTGGCTGCAACGTGTTCGGGCCGCTGGGGGCTGTCGGCATTGGTTGCTGCTGCTGGTGCACAACTCCGGGGTGACCGGCGTGTACGGCTCCAATGGGCACCATCACGTTCTATTTTTTCCACACTTTATGCTATAAACACGAGGAAAATAAAATGCACACACTTTTCAATTGAAATGCAGTATCAAAACGAGAGCAAACAAACAACAACAACAACAAGGGCAAATTAGCCACGCGGTATCTCAGATTTCGAGCAACCAATTGGCAATGGAATGAAAACACACGCTTTCCTTGCTCTAATGTTGCAATTTTCACCCCCTCTGCCCGTTGATGCTGTTACTGCAACAGCATGGCTTGTTATGCTTCTTCTTGCCGCGTGTTAATGTTGGTTGCCAGTTTTGTTGATTGTTTTATTTTCAGTGAATTGTGCATATTTTACCGACTTTACCTTTCACTCACGTGGTTGCCGTTTTGGGAGCAAAATCCGCCACACTTATACGTTGCTTTTGCAATGCTGCAATTTGTTTATCGTGCAGCAGCTCGCTTATATTTATTTATTTTTTGTTGTACCTCACACTCTTTTGAAGCGGCGCTAGCGCTCGTGTTTTGCAGCACAGCAAAAGTATGGCGTTCTGACAGCTGCAGTCACATCTCTGTTTGCAGTGTTGTGTGAAACACTATTCCGGAAATTAGACAGCACTACTATCATTCGCTCTGCGGCTCATTGCTTTGGAACGCAAAACGCGCTCAAAAGGCTACTTTGAATAAGCGGGTAGTCCGTGCTAGTGACAAGCACCACCTACCACCATGTAGTGGCGAAAATAGCAACAGCGTATTTCCAATTGCAGTAGAAACTGGATTTAATTAAAATACATTTAGGTATAAATGTGGTTCGTAATCTATGCTGCCATTGCAGTACAATCGTATGTACATATAATTCATGATAAAAAATATAACTTTAAGATGGTTTTCTTTTAACAAGTCATGTGTCCGTTTTTCCATAGTTTAATTGGTTAAATTGAAGTTTTTATATGGAGCAGCTGATAGGTCGATCAAATCCATAGCAGCAATCAAGAATACCTTTGTTATAACCACAATTACAAGCTACTTACAAGATACAGTGCATTTATGAATAATACTGCGCAACAACAATTAAAACTCTTTTTTTATACTTTATATTATGTTTATGCAAAGCAACAGGAAGAAGGAAGCATCTTCGACTCCATAAAGTACATTCTTAATCAGCATGACGAGTCATCGATACAGACATGCTCGTCTGTTTGGATGAACGTATTTGAAAACAACTAATTCCACATTGACCAAACGCGGAACGTAAATTTTTTTTATTCCCAGGCAATCCGAGCTTATTTTATTATATTATATAAGGTGCTTGAACATACCTACGCACTATGTCCAAATATTAAATTTATTTTATTTTATTATAAATTGTTTAATTAAGCGAAAATAAAGTCCTGCTGATATGGCAACACCATTTTCCAGGCGCGCAGTCAAACTTACCTGATTGTGTGAAACACATGAGTTTGTGATTTTGGCAGCAATTTTTGGTAAACTTTTAGAGAAGAGTACCAAAAAACAATAAGTTTCATAATGGAAAACGTTAATCAAGGTATGTAAAATTATAATCCATAACGGTTGAAACTATGCATATGAATGGATAGTGTATCGTTCTTACATTCGATAGATTTTTTATTCCGTTACCAAATTCGATTATAAATGTCGCAATCGATCAGTAACTAATTGGAAAAGAACTCGCATTTTATAATTATCTTCAAAATAAGCTTGATCAGTAGAGGGAGATCGGCAAAGGACTGGTTCTGAGAGGTCAGCATTCAAGGCGCAACTAGCGAGAACTAGCTTTTAAAGAATTTAACTCGTTATTTGATAGAATCAGCCACACAACAGTTTCTTAAAGTCCCACACAATTGTCATTTAATTGTTTTTATTTTATATGAAACACAAAAATTGCACACGGCATAGACGACAGTTTTATATATGTATGTATGTATGTTTGCACATATGTATATATAATTGAATAGATACTATATATAAAACCACTATGCGTTATATGCTGGGTTGTCTTTTTTATATTTTCCACATTCGTTACATTATGTTTGTATATATTTATATAGTTATGTACGTTTACACAATTATATTTAGGTTTATCCGCTGTTGCGACTAAAGTACAAGGTAGAAAGGATTAGGATCGATTCGGCCATGTAAATACATCAAATTTAAATATATATATATATGCGTGTTACTTTTCCGAAAATGTTCGAACTTTGTTGACTGATTATAATAATGATAGGCTTGCTCCGCGTTTATCAAATCGAGTACAAATTTTGACAATCCTTTCCACATTGTAGCTATTTATAATACACAACAAATTAAAAATTTATAACTATAACAATATAAAGCAGTTATTAAAATTTGCTTGGGTGTTGGTTTGTTTCCGTTTCCGTTTAAAACAAAGGAAAAATGAACGCAAGTTGAGGAATAATCACAAAGAAAGATCCAACGACGATATCCAATGATCCGTGATGTATTCATTCAAATATTATTTATATATATGCGTGAGTTAATATTTAATGTTATTTTTTGATTGACGACGTTGTTTGCTGCTGCTCTGCGGCTCTGCGGTTGTTGCCTGTTTTTCCGTCTCTTCTTTACCGCTTTTTGCTGCTGAAGGATACGAGGGCTTGCTGATAATTTTAGTTGATGTTGCTTTTGTTGCCTTTTGCTGCTGCTGTTACTGCTATCGTTATTGTTGCTGTTGCTGTTACTGTTGCCGTTGCTTTCCATTCGTATTCACTTTACTTAGTTGTTATCCATATTGCCCCCGAAATGTTGTTTGTAGTTGCTGTTTTGTTTGCTTCTATTGTTGCTGCGCTGCTGCTGACATTGGATGTTGCTGTTGTTGTTGCTGCGTTGCTCTTATGTTGGAACAGTTGCGGAACCCAGAAGTTGCTAGGCGAACAGTAGCCAGGCGATGCATAGAAAGGCCAAATAGAGAAACAGCTTGGATAGGGTCTGTTCATCGTCGTACTGTGTGGTTCCACGATTGGCCGCTATACAGCAAGAGAGCGAGCGAGCGAGCGAGAGAGAGAGAGAGAGAGATAGCATTACTGGCGGTGGTTGAGAACGCTTGTGTTGAGTGGTGCTTACCAGCCGGGCGCGGCTCGCCAAAGTTAAGCGACGATGTGAAGAAGCCAAATGGAAAAGCACCAATGCCAAAGGACATGTGAAAGCCATCGCCAAAACCAAAGCCCGGGAATCCAGGAGCTGGCTCGGGCTCTGTGCGCTGACCAGCGGGTCGTGGGGGCACCTTGTTGCTAAAAAATAAAACGGAAACAATTACAGAGGAAAAAATAAACGAAAATCCATTATTAATTGAGCATACACGCATGTTGTCGCTGTCTGTCTCTCTGCAGAGAGGACTAACCAAGAATTAAAACCGAAACAAATTGTTGAGAACCACTGCAAGGTACTTACCTACCGGTAACCCCTTTCCTTAATATTATTAATTACCGTTTCGTTTTGTTAAATGGTTTTAAAAAGGAAGAAAATCAAAAGACATTTTATTTACAACATTTGTACAATTATTTAAATCGAAATCTCCACTGGAAACTGTGAACTCTGTGGCCGGCGGCTCTTCACGCGGATTAACAATTATTTCAGTCTACAGATAACCTTTTTACTAATATGCTCTTGTAAATTGAATTTTGTGCACACAATCGTTTCTCTCTGCTCCTTTGTCTGATTCATAAGTCGAAAAAAGGTTATCGGTTTGCCAAATCCCACAATTTAGGTTCCAGTTGTGAGAGTCAAATGAATTCTTTGCGAATACGATGATGGTTTTGTTTTCTAAATGCCTCAGCTCTCAACTAGAGTTGGGAACGACACAGCGCTAGCTTTTAGCACTTTAACAATCAATTGCTATTCTTTTTATAACAATTTTTTTTTTAAACAAAGAAAAATTCGATATATAGTGCATAGATAGGGATAGAGATATCCTAAAGAATCATTTACGTAGATTTAAATGGAAGCAATTCTCCTATTTTTAGCCCCAGCCCTCGAAATAAAAGTTTTCTATTGCAACAAATTGTTAGTAAAACATACTTTGCGTGTGAAATAATGTTCTGGCTTCTTAAACGATCTGGGAAATTGGAAACATAGATTAAGTAGTTGGCAGATCTGACTCCTACTTCTTCTCTCATCAAAAAGTGTTTAACAATTTTAATACAACTGGATACTCCGAGTCGAAGCCACGAGCAGGTAGGAGGAACATTTCGGGGACAGTTAAGCTAAAACCAAGCACAATAGTTTCCCAAATTGACAAAGAAATTAATACCAGCAGTCAATAAAGCGAAACAGTGTGACGGATTCTGCATATTTGAAATTAAGGGCCGTAAAAAATTGTTCCATTAATAAAGTGTATTATTAATAGTTCAAAGGTTTGTGGTGATATCTTCTTTTATATAAACTAGCTTGAAAAACTTATGCATTACAATGTACGCATTAAAGATTTCAGCTAATAAGAAAAATTCTAAATAATAAAATAGAAATCGAAAACTAAAGTATGGAAAAAAGAAAAAAAAGGAATTCGTGCGTTCTCTTTTTAGAGTTCGCAACCATATTAGTATTAGAATACTAATTCGAAGAGCAATTATTGTTGATAGATGGGTCACTGCATCGTTTCCAAATCTAAGTTTTGGCTGCAGGTGGACTTTTGGCGACTGAGAACATCAACTTACCGTGGATCCTCCTGGCGTGTGCTGTTGCGTCCGTAGAGCGGTATGACCTTGTCCTTGTCGACGGCTGCCTTGCAGACGGGACACAATTTGCGATTGGGACGTGTCTGGAGCCATTGATGCAGGCATGGCCAGCAGAACAGATGTCCACACATGCTGACCACAGCATCCTTGGCGGTGTCCAAGCAAATGTTGCACTCGTATAGCGAATCATCACCCTGCCTTTCGCCACTATCTGTGGCTGTGCCATCAACTGGGCTACTGGCGTTCACATTTTCTGTAGCATTTATCTGCTCCTTCTTATTGGTTATATTACCGCTGGCCAGAGCGCTGCCCGTGAATGAATACGCTGTGCTCGATGTTGATGTATTCATTGCTTCTCCACCGCTGCCCGATGCTGTTCCCACGTTACGCTGACGCAATTGTGAGCTGTTCTGTTGACCCTCGTCGAGGGTGGCGCTGTTGTTGTTATCTGCTGGCCATTGCCTTCCCATGTCTGTGTTGCCGGTAGCTGGTGCTTCATCAGTAAACCGATTTCCGTTCTTGCATTGGATCCAGCCAATGTTGTCGGGATGATTCTGTTCATTTGTAGCTGTGCTGGTGGTATTGCTTGCTCCGCTCGATGTGCTCGGGAGCTCTGGCTCTCCGGCCAGAGTTGCTGTCGCTTCCATCTAAATGTTTGGCTTGAATATGTGCGTGTCCTATACTTGAATGCGCTATCCTTTTTGTTGCAACACCCGTTACCGTCTGCCTATGGGTTGTGCTTGTTGCTGTGGTTTTCTTTCGGTTCTTCTTGTTATAGTTGTTGTCGTTGCGAGTTCGACGTCCTAACGTACATACATAGACAAACCTGGAAAGAGCCAAAGAATAACAAATGGTTAAAAATAACATGGTTGGGGACAACAACAGGCGGACCTAATTAGTCTAAATGGGGCGATGAAAGCCCACAAATGTGCATTGTATGTATGCCTGTGTGTCTCTCTTTCTGTCTGTGTGTGTGTGTGTGTGTGTGTGGGTATGTTCCATGCAATCAATAGAATAAGAGACCTGTTCACTAGCTCTAGCCCCTCCTCGCCGCCCACACCACACTCACCTCAAATGTTCGCCATGCCGATTGCCATTTATTTATTTACTTATTTTTTATTTAAAATTTTGCATTCGTACTCAATGCGAATGAAAAACTGAACTGAATTTCAGACGCCTGCTGAGTTGCAAGGAAGAGGCGGCTATGGGCGTGCCACAGCTACTGTTGCAGCACTTCTAGATACATACATGTGAGCTGCATGCACATATGTACATATCTACATACATACAAACGTGTATGTATGTCTCTGTATCTTCAACCTTGCTCAAGCTTTTCCGTACGCACTTTTATCGCTTATCGCTAATACAATAACAACAAGCGATTATATTTTATTTACGAAATGTTGTCGTATGTTTTGACAAGTGACGTCGATGCATGCATATGTGTGCGTGTGTGTGTGTAATGTGTGTGTGTGTAATAAAGAGAATACAAACAACAGGCATTTACCGTGTACGTGTGTATGTGTGTTGGAAACGTATGGTCAGGCAGGTGGTGGCGCTTCATTTTGTACCCCATTGCCAGTCATCATATTTGCTAATTAGTTGAACGGATGGAACGACCGATTATACGAACATACGAACATATGTATGTATATACATGTGCATGTACAAATGTATATTTTCGATTCTAAATCGAGCTTTCGACTGATGTGTACTTTGGCTTCCTCACACACACAAACATATGCACATTATTACCGTAAATGCGTTGTTGTTGTTGTTTTGCAGCTCACATGATTTCATTTATTGTTTTCTTGATATTATTTTGTATATTTTTTTCTTGGCTGCCCATCTCATGCAAAATTTACGCTGCTTCATAAATATTTTGTACAAATATTAAACACATATACAATGTTTTTTTTTTTTGTTTTGCCAAGGCGAATGCGAATACTTATACATATGTATGTATGAAAATATATACACACACATTAAAACGCAATCAGCGCACAGGTACAAATACAAATGCACAAATATACATAGGTACATACCTTTGACAGCCCTTTCGATGCGCGCACACAAGTGAATTTTTGGTGTAGAGCTCCACAAACTAAGCGCTTAGCGGATATTTTTAATTGTATCTAGTAGTATTATAAATTAACAATATTTAATTTCACGTATTTTTCTTCTAATATTTGACCAGAGTTGCGACGCACACTGGTATTGGTGATTTTATGTTGATGACTGCGAAACAAATAAGTTGGTAGTCCTCAAACAACACGACAAAGGTACAAAATACTAGCGCTACCACTTGTCAGAAATATATGGGCCTGCTGCGAATTGTTATAGCTAGTAGCTTTTAACTGCAGCAATATTAACAGTCGCGCCATCTACTAGGAAATATAGAAACATTAACATTATGGAAAAATGCGAATAGCCCACCTATCGGGCAATGGAAATGACAATTAAACGGTTAGAATTTCAAAATGCGATGCCAACGAAAATGTAAACATTTCCTGACTGATTCTTGAGATATATTTGATATATATGTATATATTTGAGAGAAAGCAATTTAAAATAGCATAAATTTAATCCGCTATTGGCACCCCAAGTGCATCGGTTAAGTGTTTCGCATGCGAAGCACGGATGAGGGCAGTCTTTTTAAATACATTTTATTTTAATAATTTGTGCTTCCTAGAAATAATTTTGATGAAAATACGTGTCAATGCTGTTTTAAGAAACAACAAGAAGGTTGTAACATATTGCTCCTAAGGTAACCATGTGTCCCATGGTCCCAAACATTTTGCAGCACCATTGGATAAAACAAAAGACTATTATACTCATTGCGGTTTACTGATATGTTCAGAAAAACAAGTTTTTCACCGGATTGGTGCTATGGCAGCTATATGATGTAGTGATGCCATCCGACTGGATTTCACAAATAATCTGCTTGCAGGAATCAAATGTACAAAATTTCAGCGCGAAGCCCGCCTGATTCTGGAAGTCACAAATATCAGACCAAATGCTATAAAGTACTTGCAAATCTTAAATTAATGTTTAGGATTACATTTAGGATAAGATATCTTAATAAAGAAATAAATTATGCAACAATGAGTGATTTCTGGGTGCTATATAAAATAATGAAGAACCATATATGGTTGGCAACAAACTTGCTCTGCGTATGGATAGGTCTAGATACAAAGTTTGAAGCCACTAGCTGTTATGGTTCAAAAGTTCTAATGTTCATATCGATCGGACAGACATGCTGATGATAACTATCGACAGTAGAGTCCATCGATGTTTTCGATAGTTTTGTATGAATCCATCGATACTATCCATAGTTCCATCTAAGTTTGAATGCAATAAAAAGAATGAAAGAAAAACATAATTTATTTCAAGTCACGATCCTGAACAATGCTGAAAGGCTGCTTTAACCATAATTTATTACTGAGAGGATATATTTTTGTACATGTTAGTGGGTTGAACAAACGTATTTTGTTGTCAAGGCTTTTTTTCCTTAAAATGTTTCCCCATTGTTTCTCTCTTTGCTGTGGCGCTTTCAATTTTGGGTTCAGAGACTGTTGTTTCTTAAAAAAAAGAAGGAAAACACACGTTTTATGAACACACGACTTACTCATTTAAGCACGTTAACTTTCACTTTTGAGAAATTTGTCCACTTTTTTTCCAATTCCAGCCGCAGCCAACACCATCAATCGACTTCCAGAAATATTATATGGATGTTAATTAAAGAAATATTAATAAATTACCAATTTTCTGTATTCCTTTTACTAACTATCGATGGTGGCCATAACTCCATCGATAGTTTCCAAAATTTTAATTCCAATCTGCGGGTAGCTCCCGCTGGAAACACTTAATTCCACATTTTCGACTGACCGCAGTACGAAAATGAATTCAATTCAGTGGCAATGGATATGGAAAAGGAATTCGCAATTAATTTTTCGCTTACCTGCCCAACCCCTTGGCCAACGCCATCTAACCCTCGTGGAACAGCTGGCCAAATCACGAAGAGATCTCACCCTTCGGGTATTATAGTACTTGCTCGGTGGCTGTTGTTCCGAGAGTTGCGACAGATTGTGCAACAGGGCCACATGCCTCAGGGCCACATGCCTCAGGGCCGCGCCCCCCAAAAGATCTGCTGGACGGCGAGTCGGCGCACTTGTGGTCAATCATTTTCTCAATATGTATGTATGTATGTATGAGTGGTTGTATGTATGTATGTTTATAGAGGTTCCAATCAAATTCCATGGAATTCTCTAATCGAGCGGCTTTGATGCAAAAAATTGCTGCCACAAAGGCAACAAAACAAAAGGCAAAGACACAATAAATTTCAATAATAATTTACCAGCAGCGGAGCGAAGCGTGCGTAAAAACTGTCTAATATATATAATTTATTGACTTCTAACTATACACAGGAATGTACAAATCTATGTGTGTGTGTGTGTGTGTGCGTGTATGAGTGGATGGCTATTTTCCAGAACCGCGAACAAGATATTAGAGAGCTGGCCAACGACCGGCCGTCAAGCCGTTTGTACATTTTGCACTAAAAATGTCAACAGCATCAATTTACAGTCGCTCGACAACAACAACAACAACAACAACAACAATAACAATAACAATGACAGCATAAAGAGTGCCGCAAAAACGAACACAAAAAAAATAAGAAGAAAAAAAGAGACAAGACAAGAGGAATCTAACACTTCCAGAGAAATCACTTGGATGGACGCGACGCACTTGTTCGGCTCGGCGTTACACACGAGAGCGAGAGAGCTGGAGGATGGGGTGACGAAATGATCATCGGGAGGGCGCCCCGCAGCGGCCGCTTCTCTGATCTTATACCGCACGCCCCGCTGCGACGAGCGACGCATCTTCGGTAGCTGTTGCTGTGCTGCGTGCGAATGCGCGTGCAGGTGTGTGTGTGTGTGTGTGTGTGTGTGTGGGAGAGAGAGAGGGAGCGAGAGTGCCAGCAGTGACAACAACAGTGGGAAAAAAAAATCTGTTGCCAAAAAAGAAAATCAAACAAAACACACACCCCAGGCCGAAGGAAGCGCAAAAAAGAGCAGCAGGGCCGGCCAAACAAAGGAGCTCTAATTAGTGAAGTTACAAATTGCAGGTCGCGCGGTGCCTTTCAAGAAACTGCGCCCCGAGAACACTTTTATGCACAAAACAATCGATTCGATCTCAAATGGGTCGCTTGCCAAGCAACTAAAACGAACGAACTGCAAGGAAGAGTTCCCCAAAAAAAAATACATTCACAGATCCCACTGAATCCCCATTCGTGGCGCCAAATTCCTAGTCCTAGTTACATATCCTTGTGGCTCCCATTGTTGCCATTTCTATTCAATTCCTCCTGAATGTAATGGCTTTTTGAGACAACTTCAAAAACACGCCTTCGATTTCGATATCGGTGCAACCGAAAACCCACAGACTAAGCCTCCATTCCTCCTCATTCAGTATTTGGGTCCGTGGGAGCTCTAAAGAATAATCTCCTGGGGAAATCTCAAAAAGAAATCAAAACACATTTGCATTTCATCCATTCCACTGCTTAAATAAGCTTAAACTTTAACAATTAAAATCCAAGAAAAAGCAACAAATTTGAACAAAAAAACGTAAAAAAGCTACATTTCTTTAAACAAGACATGCGTAGAAATATTAATTTTTGAAGCTTTTCTATCTACTTGGTGAACATTTTAAATAATGTTAAGATAAAACTGGTTTAAACTAGCGGTGTTATGGGCAAATATTGTTAAAGAATATTGATGCCAAGTTTTCTGTTTTCTTTTTCTTTTACAGAAATGTTGCCAAAACTACAAAAAGGCGGAAAGAAGCTACATACTTACATTTATTGTATAAAAGTCAGAAATCCCGCAATTTCGAATTTCATTCCGCTATTTGATGTCTAAAACAACCACATTTGACGGGAAAAAAGCCAAATTGTGAACATTGTTGCAGCGCTTTCAGCATGAACATTATTTTTTTATGTCATCTATTCTGGCCATCTACGGGACCGTTGCCCCCCCCTAGAAAAAATTTTTCCATATAAAGTCGACCACACGTTCATTATTATGACGCACTATTTCGCCTTAAGATGGATCTGCGTTGGATTTGTTGAAGTTTTTTCATCGATCATATGCATAAATTATTTTTTAAATGCATCGGGCACCACCCTTTGGTAAAAGCTGGCTACGCCCTTGACAGTTTGTAAAGCATTTATTTATATATCCCCGAATCGATATTTCTTAGGAACTGTATGAGTTCCTCTCCCAGGAGTGAATGTTTCGACCAGTTTGTGGATTACTTTTCATTTCACAATTAATTTACACACAGAGAAAGATTAAAACTTGTTTGTTTTTCTGAAGGTGTTTCACTGCGAAATAAACACCCACTAAGATGCTAGGGAAGTCCCCGTTTTCTTTCTCTCCACGATGTAGTGGCGGCTACAAACTTAAGAATCTTTTTTTTTTCTGTAGTTTCATCTATTATTGTCTGTATTGTTTTGATTTGTTTCTTTTTCTGAAATCGACGGCACTGTTTGTCGATAACATAAATAAATACATAAATAAAAATCTGACAGCTTTGGACTTAAGTCGGGGATCATCAAACCTGTAACACTCTAATGGACGTAATACAAGTAAATTGGAGAAAAAGCAATGCAAAGTAATGTGCTTGCTTCAGTGGGACATTCCTGATTATTTGAGATGAAAAGCCACTCTTTTAAGTTATAAGACTCCTTCAACCTTATGGGCCATCAGTTCATTGCCGTGTGAGTATGAGAAGCAACCCCAACTGGCTAATCAATTGATTAGTAAGTCTCGTGCCCACCAAACATCGACACAAATCCAACAACATGAGACGATGGACACACCCTTCGGCCGTTCGGGGGTGCTTAGCGAGTCAGGTATCGCTGACTCCAGCGACTGGGTGCGAGGATCCGCGGATATAGTCGGGGTAGGTAGCGAAAGTTTGACTTTTGCGCGTTTAGATGACAAAAATGAGCAAAACAAATGATCAATGCTGGCTGGCTTGCTTGAGTTTTCTGGCAAAATGAGCGGCTAATCCCGGCCAGAACTGGACGATGGATTTGGTGCGCGACTTAGCCGGTTGGGTTGTCCTACCTGGTCGATGGTTACGCTTGAGCCACAATTTGGGTGCCGTTCCGTCTAATCCAGCGAGCAACGACCATCGGCCACCGAAATTATCTTT